ATTTTTTATTCTTCTACTACACATATTATATTGCCCCAGATTTCCCAACATGTACTTCTCTAGAAAACTCGGCAATGGTACCTCTAGGGTCAACGGTGGTATTGCTTAGTGTCAAACGATGGTACTGCTTAGTGTCAAACGATGGAACCACCCAGAATGGTAATGGTACTATCGGAACACAATCTCCTAAGCTATGTCAGGAGGTGGTATCGCCTAAGTAAGTGATGGTACCACCAGTGCTCAGGCTATCAGGCAGTGGTACCATCCAATGCAGGAGATGGTACCACTAGTACCCCGAAAACCCAAAGATTTAAATTTTTGGTTCTATTTCTGAAGCCATTTGGAGCCTATTAATATCCCTCTTATGCTTTCTTGTTAAAGTAATGAGTGTTGAGTCTCTTCCTCCTTGAGTCTAGAAGTTATTCTAAGCAAGGTGAGAAGTCTTTTGTAAAAAAGGGGGGTAAGGATTCTTTTCGAAACCAATAAAAATGAGAAAAAATTATAACAAGGGTAATTGATCTTTGCCCATTGAAAGAAGATCGGTAGCAAAAGTCGATGGCCTCGAAGGAAGAGGAATCGGGAGTGGACATAGGTCGGGACGACCGAACCACTATAAATCAGTTTGCATTTATTCTTTTGCCTTGATTTACTATTGCATACTGATTTACTTACTAAGCAATCCTTACTCATACTTTTTGTTAATCACATTTTCGATACGGATTTCATCGATCGAAACTTTCAAATCGAAATTTTTTGAAAGCACTAATTCCCCCGTCTTAGTGCCTTTACATCTTAACATTTCTAACTTATCTCAAATAATCACGGTGGAGTGATCAATACCATTATTGATAATATTATCAGCGTTGCAATGATGAATAATACTCACGCACTTTACCTCAAGGTCCTCCCAATCTTTATCACTTATATTTTCTATTTTTCTTGCTCATCCGTTCAATGTTCTTATTAGGTTTTGCTAAACAAGAAGACCTTTTATCATTCTCTATCATAAAGTGAAACTATTTTTGTATCAAATTTCTCTATAATAAGGCAAGCGAAAACAATTGATGACATCCTTATTGTATCTCTAATCATCAAATCTTTTGAACTCTAATATCATTTTCTTGGGGAGAGAGAAGAGAATTCCAAAACCAAAAGAATACCTAATGATCAACAAGCTAAAAAGTATATCATAAAATCAATGCAAGATTTTATATGATTCGACAAATCTCGTCTACATGGAGAAAATCAAATTCTTCGATATAAAATATCAATTACAAGGTCTTTGGTTATCCCTAATCAAGTTCGACTTTCACTATTCACTTCTTATCTTATATAAATGTGAAGAACTCTTTTAACCCTTTTTAGAAACTCTAAAGATCACTCTTGTATGCATTTAAAGTACATTATCTCTTCCTCTTATCAAAATTCTAAAACTCAATTTATATTTATAAGAATAAATTTTAATCCAGTAAAAAATTAATTTTATTAATTAATTTAAATATAATTAAGAATTTTAAAAATACTTAGCAACTTCTAATTAAGTCTTGATGATGATGTCCATTCGAGAAGAGTTAAAAAGAGGTCAAAAAGGATGTAGAAGGACGGACACAACATTAACGTACACACAATTTATGTATGAGAAAAAAGTTTGGGAGAGCAAAATGACACGGGAAAGAGTATCTATATTTTGTGATAGAAGATAAGATTTTCCTCAATAGAATAGAGGATTTTCTTCAACAGAATAAATATGAGAGGAAATATGTTAATATATTGAAACATTTTTTATTTCTTCAATAAAACTTTTTCACTTTTTCAATAAAGCTTTTTTAGTAATTGTTCTTACCTTCTATTCTTTTCATCATGGTATCATAGCAGTGAGAAAAGCGAAGTTTCGCTCTTGCCTTAAGCCAAAGACCAACGTTGTTGAGAAAAGCGAAGCTTCACCCTTGTCTTCGGCCAGCGACCAATGTTGCTGCAGCCACATTCCTAAGAGGCTCCATGGCCAATCCTCATCTTCCTCACCATGGTAACCTTTGTTGCCTTCGTTGATTTACAACAGTCGGTGGACTTAAAGGAGAACGAAGGAAACGCGGGAAATCCTTTCTCCTAATCTGTATAAATAGAAGAGGAAACATGTTAATGTATTGAAGTATTTTTCATTACTTTAATAAAACTTCTTCACTTCTTCAATAAAACTTCTTAATAATTATTCTTATCTTCTGTTCTTTTCATCGTAGATCCGTTAACCAAATATATCATGTCAACATTATAAACTTAGATGAAAGAATATAAAAGTGAGAGATGTGTTAGTATGGACGTGAATATAAAGTCGAGAGGATACGACATATTGTTGAACGAGAAGCACATACTTGAACCGAGTAGAACCGCAATGGCGACGGATGGACATTGGAGACAACCGGCATGGGTGTTGCAGGCCGAGGTGACAGTCATCGGCATGGAAGTCGGGAGGAGTGCATGGTAGACGGAGCATTAGTACACCTAAATTAAATACATGAGTTGCTGTACAAACTCCATGAATAACTTCTACTCGATCTCTACATATGTACTGATTTACACACGGGCAAAAGAACGTTCATAAACACCTACCAAGTTCCCGCCATAACAATCAGAAACTTCAATTCTGTTCTTAATAGGGTGTGATAGCCTGACGGCAACGGCGTCCTCGTCCAACTTAAAACCGTACGATCGCCTTTTACATCATCTGTGCCACAACCTAGCTAGGTGCTAGCAATCAATCCCCTACGCCAATCGCTTCATCCAATAATACAAACTATCAGCTACCCACTCTCAGCAAATCATAACTCCTCTCTCGCTCCGACTCTCTTTTGCTCCATCTATTTCTGCTACAGTTTTGTAATTTGTACTGTACCTTCATCTATTTCTGCTACAGTTTGTGATCTGTACTGTCGGATAAGGAAAGAAAATTTTTAAAATTAAAAAAATAATTCAGATATCAACAAACTAAAAAAATATATTAAAAATTAATATAAAAAAAAAGCAATATGGTTTGATAAATTCGATTTATATTCATAGAGAAAATCAAAATTTTTATATTATAAAATCAATTATAAGGTTCTTAAGTCATCTTTATTCAAATAAGGTTTTCCTTGTTCACCTCTCATGAAAAAAATTTTCAATCCTCTTTGAAACCCTAGATATTACCCTTAGGAGAACCCAAAGCCTCTTGTCTTTCCCTTTCATCGAAACTTTAAGACTTAATGTATATTTACAGGAATAAATCTTAATTTACTAAGAAGTTTTAATTTAATTATGACTTTATCAACTAATTTAAATATAATTAAAACTCCTAAAAATACTTATCCATCTTAATATTTTTTTTTTTATTTTGTGCTTACTATAGAAATTAAAATATTGACTTGAAAAATTCATTACAATTATACAAATTGAATTAATTCATAGTTTAACAATACGAAGCTCATTATCATAGTTATCTATCATCCCCTACATGTGCAACATGCTTTTATTATATTTCTTTCTATGTAGTACAATCCTTGATATAATCTTCCTTTTAGTAGGATTATATAAGCTCAAATAACTTTTAGAACTCTACCTCTATCCTCGTAGCCATAACTTAAAAAATCTAAAAGACTTAACGAAATTAGATTCTTCTATATCTTTGGAATATAAGTCATATCCTTCATAGTATGCACCACTCCATTAACCATTTTAGACAGCTTATCATTTAATGAATCAAAACAATCGTTCTAAATAGCAAACATGAGTAACACTAGCAGAATTTTAAAACTAACTCTTTTGAAAAGATGCATCATTATATTTGAAAATCATAAGAATATCTTCGTCACCATCCATCATAAGAGAGCACTCGTTGACCTCTTATTTATGTTTCTTCTTTCTTCCAAGATAGTTCCGTCCGAAAATCCTCCTTAGTGACCTCCATCTTTAGTAGCATGAAATACTAAAGTTTATTCAACTTGTTATAGAGTTTTTATATCATTCCCACATAATATCGTCTCCATAGAGTTATCATTAGAGTCGAAAAGTGATGTAAGACGCAATAGTATCTTATCTTTTTTTATTAATCTTTATATCAATTTCCCTATTCTATTTCAGATATTTTATCAAGTCTCTGTCTTCCTCTATCTTCAATCTCTATAACTTCCACTTATATATAATTTGCCAGTTAGGTTTTTTATTAGATAAGACTTTTCTAACTTATCTCAAATAACCATGTGGAGTTATCATCAATGACATTATTGATAATATTATCAATGTTGTCTTGAGCTCCTCTCAATCTTCATCGCTTATATTTTCTTGTTTGCTTGCCCATCTCTTCAATGTTCTTATTAGGTTTTGTTGAACAAAAGGATCTTTTATCCTTCTTTGTCAAAGAGTGAAACTATTTTTTTCTATCAAATTTCTCTACAATAAAGCAAGCGGAAATAAGTGACGACATCCTTATTGAATCTCTAATCATCCGATCTTTTGGACTCTGATATCATTTTATTGGGGAGGGAGAGGAGAATTCTAAAACCAAAAGAATGCCTAGAGATAAACAAGCTAAAAAGCATAGTAGAAAATCGATATAAGATTTAATATAGTTTAACAAATCTCATCTACACCTATCGAGAAAATCAAATTCTTTGTCATATGAGATCATTTATAAGGTATTGGTTATCCCTATTCAAATACGACTTTCATCGGTCATCTCTCGTATAAACATGAAGAAGAACTATTAACCCTTTTTAGAAATCTTGAAGATCACTTTTATAAGTATCCAAAGTATCTTGTCTCTTCCTTTCATTAAAATCATTAGACTCAACTTATATTTATAGGAATAAACCCTAATTCACTAAAAATTCTTAATTTAATTAAAATTTAATTAATTAATTTAAATATAATTAAGACTCCAAAAAAATACTTAGCAACCCTAAGTACTACTTCTAATTATTTATACTTCGTTATTCACGAGTTTGCATTCGGTGCTGCTGCAATGGACATGTATGGGAAAACGTCTTCCAGGATCTACTGGGAAGAAGACGAGAGAGGTTCGCAGTCTCCGATACAGCACCACCATCACCAGCAATCCGTCAAAGGGCAGTCACCGGAGGCGGAGCTTCCCCGGGTCAGCCTGTCGCGGCTGTCGTCCGCCACGGTCTCCTCTGTCTCGCCGTTGAGCCCTGGCCCGGGATCCCCGTGGGCGTTATCCCCCATGCGCCGCTTCTCGTCCCCGTCTCCAACCCCGTCACTGATGTATCACTGTCTCGTCTCCCTGCAGCGCCATGACGGCAACGTCTACTGCGTCGCTGTCTCTGGCGGCACAATCTATACGGGCTCCGACAGCGACCGCGTGCGGGTGTGGAAACAGCCGGACTGTGTGGATCGGGGCAGCATCCAGACCGGCCACGGCCGGATCCGGTGCATCCTCGCTCACGGTTCCACCCTCGTCACCACCCACAAGGACCACCGGGTCCGTATCTGGGCCGTGCCCCCCGTCCCGGACCGACTGCGGTGCAAGAAGGTCGCCACCCTCCCGCCTAGGATCTCCAGCCTCTTCCCCTTCCGCAAGCACCGATACCAACGACACATCGACACCATCTCCTGCCTCGCCTTGCACCACGCCGAGGGCCTCCTCTACACCGGCTCCCTGGACCGGACGGTCAAGGCCTGGCGGCTGACGGAAAGGGCCTGCGTTGACTCCTTCGTGGCCCACGATGACCAAGTAAGCGACATTGTGGTCAACGAGCTCGACGGCTGCCTCTTCACCTCCTCCATCGACGGCTCCGTGAAACTGTGGAGGAGAGTGTTCGGGGACAGCTCCCACGCGCTGATGATGGTGCTGCGGTTCCAGCCCTCGCCAGTAAACGCCCTGGCGCTGAGCCACTCGAGAGACACTTGCTTCCTCTACTCCGGCTCGTCCGACGGCTACGTAAACATATGGGAGAAGGAGGCGGTGTCGGGGCGGTACAACCACGGCGGCTTCCTCCAGGGCCACCGCTACGCCGTGCTCAGCCTGGTGGCGGTCAACCGGGTACTGCTCAGCGGCTCGGAGGATACGACGATAAGGGTGTGGAGGAGGGAGAAGGGGAGCGGGTTCCACAGGTGCCTGGCGGTGATGGAGGGGCACCGGGGACCGGTCCGGTGCCTGGCGGCGAGCGTGGAGGTGGAGGGGAAGGGAATCGGGATGGGACTGCTGGTGTACAGCGCTAGCCTTGACAGGGTGGTAAAGGCGTGGAGGATAAAGGTGCTGGCCGAGGACGACGACGACGAGGCGGTGACCGCCGTCGCCAACGACGAATGCGGTGGCAGCGGTGTTGGGAAGGAGGCCACGGCGGAATACGAGATGAATCCGGTGCTGTCACCGACGTGGGTGGAGTTGAAGCTGCAGAAGAGTTATCCCTTCTAATGGATGCGGATTTGTAATAAGCTAATATGGGTTTAATGCTGTGTCTCTTAGTGTACTGTTTAGGTCTCATGTTCAAGCATCTTTTATATCGTTTAATGTAGTAAATATAAATTAAATTAGGAAAAAAGAAATATATTGGTATTTGATAGGGAATAAAGTGATGAAAGCTTTGGTCGAAAGGCATTATGATAGATATATAAAAATACTTCGGATAAATAGAGGTGATGAATTTTTATGTAATAAGTTTAATTCTTTTTATGAAAAAATTATATTTACAGAAATTTGATCACATATATCAGAACAAAACTTATATCGAAGTAAAATGGTTTATCTGAATATAAGAATCGAACTATCGTTGAAATGACAATATATTTGCTTAAAAGAAAGTCTCTTCCAAATTAGTTTTTGGCAAAAATAATTACAATAATAATATATTTGTTGAATACTTTATCAACAAACGTTATTATGAATCGAACTCCTTTCGATACTTGATATGATATAAAGTCAAATGTAAGCTATCTAAGATTTTTTATTTTATTATTTATGCTTTGATAAATACACCAAACCATCATAAAATTAATAAAAAATAAAAGATATATATTCCTTATAATCCAAAGCATATCGATTATATAATCATGTTAGCGACAAAATTATTATTAATAAAAATATTATATTTGATGAAAAAATAAGTTGGAATTGGGAGATCAATGAAAATGAAACACAAATTCATATTCCAGCATAACTAGACACTCCACAAAATTAAGTGGCAGATCCTACTCCAACAAGTTCATCTTCAACCTCACTTAATAGTAATTCAAATTCATCAAATGATTCCTCGGATGAAACCCTTTAGAAAAATTTAGATCACTAATAGAAATTTATGATTCAATATTTGCTTTGTTTATTTCAGATCTTATAAATTTTGAGAAAGAAATTAAAAAAAGATGAATGGTGAAAAACAATGAATCAGTATAAAATTTTCTTTCTAAGTGACTGAAATTGTTACTCAAATGAAATATTACGGTGAACATCTTCATGATCATATAATTGTTGCAAAAGTTTTGAGAAGTTTAACTCCAAAATTTGATCATGTTGTTGCCGCAATTGAGGAGCTAAAAGATTTATCTACTTTTTTATTTGATGAACTTGCTAGTCATATGTGCCCTATAAGCAAATCACGTGAGTGATGGTATGTGTGACACGATATGCACTCTTTTTGTTTATTATTATTTAATAATATTTTTCTAACTTTATGTTACTTGTTGCATATATTGTGATGTCCATTGATCTATGCAATAGAAATCAAATCGTGATGTGATCATGATAATGGGACCGATTTTTCTTTAAACATAGACCATAAATAATCCCGATCATAGGTTACTCGAGAGGGACATCGAGATAATCGGACAAACTGGTGTATTATATACCCATCCGTATGATGGAGGCGATTAGTCTCATAGTTGTTCGTGTGAGGATACTATGGATACAATATAGGTGCTCATTAAAGAATGAGTTCACTAATTGATCTGCTCATGGAATGCTAGATAGTTGATGATACCTCATTGTCAGACAATGATTCCATCATCCCAATTATGTATCTAGTCCTTATACTTAAGACACCAAGGATGTATTGTATGAGTACTTCATTTTTTAATAACGGACTTATAGGTCAAGAAGTTACAAATCTAGCATAACTTGTCATCGAGAGTGGTAGCCAACCTTACGAGGGTGATTGAGTGTCAATAGAGGATCATTCACTCTTGGTGTCATGAGAGGAATATCTTATATGTTCTTGCTCAAGCAAATATCTGGCCAAGGTCATTCAAATTGAGAGAGAAAGAGTTCTTTAGGAGATTCCGATTAGAGCGAGACTCGAGTAGATTCCGTATAGGCCTGACAGCACCATGCTAGATATACGGTCTCTGGAATATTAGATGGATGAGAGACTATAGATACACGGTAACTAATGACATATATGTCTAATAGATTGGATTCCCCTATATCATTTGCGAACTGCGACATAGTGGCCTAGTACGTTCGTAGTCAATGAGTTGAGCAAATTATTATGAAGATAATAATTCACTAAGTGAGAAGGAATTCTGATAGGTATGACTCACGACCAACTTGATATTGGGCCTAGAGGGTCACACACATATGGTAGGTGTTGCGATGAGTAGAGGTTTGGATATGAGATATTTGTTGGAGCCAATTGTAGTGTTGTTCTAATATTCGTTTGAGTGACACAGGGCTAACGTCGATCAGGAGAGGCAAATTGATTAAAGTAGGAGGAATCGGACATTCGACCATGTTGAATCTCGTATTTTGATGATGAAACCAATTTATAATTGTTTATGATTTGATCTACGTTTTGAGTGACATAGGATGCTTCGATCAGGGAGAGACAATTAAAGCAGGAAGAATCATGTTGGGATGGAGGAAAACATATCAGAAGATTAGACGTCGGGCCGAAAGATCGGTCGACGTATCGATAGAAGGCCTCGGGCCATGGATTTGGGCATCAGGCCAAGAAGAGCAGATATTGCGCCAAGGATATTGGAGTTGCGGAGTCAACTGACCGATTGATCAATAGGCCGCAAGAGAGAATGATGCGCCGAAGAATAGGACGAAGCGTCGATGGACCAATGACATGCCGGACAACATGATTCAAGCTTAGTAATAATTGTCTAAATCAAAGTGTGTTTTTACATGTGTAGGATTAACTATAATAGCAAGGCATAAAGCAAAATGAAGTCCTGGAGTCAAGAACGCGATTTCATTGGGAGTTCGAGAGTTCGTCGGAAGTCCAAACGTTCATCAGAAGTTCTGTAGGAACCAGCCGAGAAGTCCAAGAGCTTGCCAAAGAAGCTCGTTGGAACTCGCCAAGAAGATCATCGTGAAGTCCAGGAGCTTGCCGAGAGTCCATTGGAACATTGCCGAGAGATCGTCGGAAGTTCGCCGGAAGCTCACTAGAAGAAACCAAGACCCAGGGACTTGTTTAGCTTAAGTATATCTTAGATTTCGTAGAGAGGACGATGCACCAAAGAATCGGACGAAGCATCGAGAGACCAATGACATGCCGGACAACTTAATTAATACTTAGTATTAATTGTCTAGATCGAAGTTTGTTTTACATGTGCAGGATTCACTACGATGGAAGTAAGACATGCAGTAGGAGTTGCGCTAGAGTTAAGACCCTGATCACGTTGGGGGTTCGAGAGTTCGACGGAAGTCCGGATGGTCGTCGGAGGTTCTACGGGAACAAATCCGAGAAGTCCAAGAGCTTACGAAAGAAGCTCGTCGGAACTCGCCAAGTGGATTGTCGCAAGTCCAGGAGTTTGCCGGAAGTCCGCTGGAGCATCGCCGAGGGTTCGTCGGATGCTCGCCGGAAGTTCGCCAGAAGCTCGCCAAAAGAAGCGATTGACGCAACAGAGCAAGTTGCAGTATTAATGTCTTAAATATCGTAGTTAGCATGTACAAAAGTGTTGTAAAAGGTCAAAAGTTCTTCTCACTCTTTTCATCTAAGTTTTGATTATTCAAGAGAGGAGTGAAAATCTGTAAGTGTTGTCTCCTAAGCCCGTCAATAGGAGTAAAGCTATAAAAGGGTGGTTGGCTTTCGCCTATTGAAGGAAGGCCTCTAGTGGACGTCAGTGACATCATTGGAGGAGGAAGCCAAAAGTGGATATAGGTCAAGATTGACCAAACCACTCTAAATCTCGGTTTGCATTTACATTCTTCTCTATTTCTTAACTGCAAACTACCTTCGTTGCTTTACATCATCTATGCTTCCGTTTGCTCTCAAGTTAAAGTTCTTTCCGAAACAGTTTTTGTATGAAAGTCTTTTAAATCGTCGAAAGTTTTCCGCTGCACTAATTAACACCCCCCCCCCCCTCTTAGTGCTTTTGATCCTACCAAGAAATTCATTCGTGGAACCGAAAATAATATCATCAACATAAATTTGAATAATAAGAAAATTATTTTTAAAATTTTTGATAAACAATGTAGTATCTGTTGAATCTCGTATTTTGATGATGAAACCACTTGATATGTGTTTATAATTTAATCTGCGTTTTGAGTGACGCAGGATGGTTCGATCAGGATGAGACAATTAAAGCAGAAAAATCAGGTAACTCGATCGAAAATCAGGTAACTTGATGGGAAGAAGACGAGCTATGGTAGATGATGAAGCCTGCTACGATCGAAACCCCCAACCCGCTATAGTAGAGCTCTAAGCCCGCCACAAAATACACTCAGAAATATGAAAATCAGGTAACTCGACCCTAATGAAACAAAGCAACCAAATGACATGCCTTAAACCGGAAATGTCACACACTCGGACATAGGGAGCATTAATCCCTGACTGTGAAGCGCATCTCCCCCTTTTCTGGGAGCATTAATCCCTAATGGCGAAATACATCTTCCATTTATGGTCGCTTGGTGTAGGTAACCACCGTCCTCTTTTCCTGCACATATGCCAACCTAAACAAACAACATCACACCACAGAAGATCATACTAACCAACCGACGCCTTCAAAGATCATACTAATCAACCCACGCCATAAGAGGTCGTACTGGGTGGTTATCCACATGAATGCACCATAGTGTTGAATCTCGGATTTTGATGCTGAAACCAATTGATAGTGTTTATGATTTGATCTATGTTTTTAGTGACGTGGGAAGCTTCGATCAAGGAGAGACAATTGAAACCCCCAACCCGCTATAGTAGATCTCTAAGCCCGCTACAAAATACACTCAGAAATATGAAAATCAGGTAACTCAACCCTGATGAAACAAAGCAACCAAATGATGTGTCTCAAACTGGAAATGTCACACACTCGGACATAGGGAGCATTAATCCCTGACTGTGAAGTGGGAAGCTTCGATCAAGGAGAGACAATTGAAGCAGGAAGAATCATGTTGGGCGGGAGAAAAACATGTCAGAAGATTGGACGTCGAGCCGAAGGATCGGTCGACGTATTGACAGAAGGCCTAGGGCCATGGGC